CCACCTGTAAAGGGCTTCTACTTTGTCTAAGAAGGGCGTGTATAGGTTTCTGGCATAGAGGCCTGAATAATTTGCGATGCTATTCCTCATGGCTCAGACATCAGGGTTTTTGCAAACTACGCCAAAACCCTGTTCGAATCATCGATGCCCGCCATATTTGTTTCGTGTTTTGGGCTTGGGGTCCCTAAACCCTAAACCCTAAACCATAAACCCTAAACCCTAAACCCTAAACCCTAAACCGTGTCTATATTAGAGCGAGGGTTTGTTTAAGCTTCGGCGTCAATGAACGGCTTGTTGTTAGTGTCCCCGAGACTTGGCGGCTTTGTTATAGTTCTGGCAGTAGGGTTTAGGGTTTAGGGTTTAGGGTTTAGGGTTTAGGGTTTAGGGTTTAGGGTTTAGGGTTTAGGGGTTTAGGCCCCTACCCCTATATCATGCTCTGAAGCCTTAACGCCAGCGCAGAGGCATTCCTCCAAGTTTCACGCTGCTGGGCTGGTGACACTCAAGTGTTGGTTTCCGGGTTCATAGGGGTTGGCTGTCTGTGAGGGTTCGAGCAGCGTTTCCTGCTGGTTCAGGGCGTAGTAGTTCGGGATTTGGCATCTGCGTGTCGGGGGCGAAGGGTTTGGGGTTTCAGTATCCAGGGTTGCGTCAACTGTTTCGTGGTTGTGCAGGCTTTGTGGCTCAGGGTTCAGGGTTCAGTGTATCCTACACTCTAAACCCTAAGCCCTACGTCATAAAGCCTAAACATAAACCCTCGGCCTAAACTCCAGATCAAACACTAAAGCCCAAGCTCTAGTTCAGTTCAGGGTGCAGGGTTCACTGTAAAGTGTGTAAGGTTTACCTGTAGCCCAACAAAGCCTACCTATGTCTAGGGCTCCTTACTATTAGCATTGTTATTAGTATTGTTGCTACTATCATTGAACCCTGTTGCTACTATCATTGAACCCTAAACCCTAAACCCTAAACCCTAAACCCTAAACCCTAAACCCTAAACCCTAACCCTAAACCCTAAACCCAAAGCCCTAAAGATCCGAGTAGTTCGTATTCATGGTTGTTGGTACCCAGAACGGGCCCGAAGAATCGAGGTACTTGGACCCTCGAAGATTAGTCTTATTCTTCTTATCATTGTTGCTATGATTAGACTAGTATTGTGAGTCTTACTACTATTTTCATGATTTATGATACTGATGATGATGATGATGATGATGATGATTCTTCTGGGCTTAGGGTTTTGGGCTACGCTCAAAAAGGCAGGTTATTTAGTCTGAAAGCAGCATTCAAGCCCTAGGCTTCCTATCACGCACACGCGCCCGGATACACACAAAAGTCTTGGAGGGGTCACGTACTATAGAGGCCTTACTCATTGCCAATACTATTTTGGGGGTTCCTTACATTATATTTGTAGTATACTATACCCCACAACCCTATTCTAATCATTAAGGCCTCTACATTACTGTGAATATGATTCCGGAGCCTGCAGCATTCCTCGCCCCGAACTGAACCTTCAGCCCCTGGGCCCAAACTGCAAGCCCAAAACGCTTGAATTAGGGCTTAGGGCTTAGGGTTTAGGATACACCGAACACCCTAGTTTGTAACGGGGACGATTTTCCGTTGTTTACTTTGCGTTTGCTTGTTGGTAGGTTTCCGGGCTGGGAGGAAGAAAAGAAGGAATCAAGGACGGACAGAAGCATGCAGGCAGGGAGGGTATTCCTAAACCCTAAACCCTAAACTTCTAACATATTTGCCTGTTTTCTTGGGGCTTCGGGGGTCTGGCCCTGCGGCTGCCGAGGTATGCGCAGACCCAAAGCAGGATGTGGCACGGACGAGGAGCAGGAGGACGAACCCCGCCCTAAACCCAAACCCTACGCACAGAGTTTAGGGCTCCGGGCTAAGGGAGCAGCAGGACCGAACCCAACCGAAACCTTTTACAGCACGAGCACGTAGGAGCCCGAGAACCTGTAGAACCCTTTTCAAACCCTTGCAGAACCTTGATTCAAGCATCCCATTCTCAGGGTTTGTTTGGCTCGGGGGTTTGTTTTGGGGTTTGAGTTTCAGGGTCAAGCATTATTCCTTATGGGTTTCCTTGAAATACTTACACTATAGCAATCTTGCCTGAACCTTTGCCCCAATACATGTCTCAAAATGTTATTTGGGCTTTAGGTAGGGTTAAGATCTATGGTCGGTTTCAGGATTTAGGACCATGCGGGTCGCAGTGAAGCAGACAGGTTTCTCGGACCTCTTGCAGTCCCCGTATAATACGAGGACTTTCAGAGGAGCCTATACATGTACAGTCACAAATCAAAGCCTCTGTAATGCTTCAGGCCCCCTTATATTGGGGCTTAGGGTCAGGAATCTTAGGGTCATGGCAAGGAATCCTGCCACTACGCGTCGAGCGGGCTACAAGTAGGGTCTAGGGTTTAGCGTGCGATGGAGGCTTTTGGAAGGCAGTAGTTCTGCTAATAATGCTAACATGTGTTTACAGCACCCAGACCGGCATGGTTCCCTATTCTAAGTAAAGTATTGCACAATATGCCGCCCCACAGCCCTGCTCGAATAATTCAGCCCCCTGATAATCCATCCCAAGCCGGATTCCTCGTTAGAGGATCGTTGGACTCGGTTGGCAGATTATGGCTGAGGCTGCCCTTCAGGCTCCAAGCTTAGGCCCTTAACCCCAAGCCCTATGCCCGAAGCCCTAAATGCTAAACCCTAAACCCGAAGCCCTAAACCCTAAACCCAAAGCCCTAAGCCCTAAACCCAAAGCCCTAAGCCCTTAACCCTAAACCCTAAACCCAAAGCCCTAAGCCCTAAACCCTAAGCCCTAAGCCCTTAACCCTAAACCCTAAACCCGAAGCCCTCAATCCTAAACCCTAAGTCCTAAGCCCGAAACCCTAAGCCCTAAACCCTAAGCCCTACAAACCCTAAACCCTAAGCCCTACAAACCCTAAACCCTAAGCCCTAAACCCTAAATCCTAAACCCTAAATCCCACTCTAGCTTCGGAGGAGCTTCTCCGAAAACCCGAGGGCGAGATGATGTGATTGGCCATAGCAGCTGTCGGAAAGAAGCGGCGCTGGCTTGTAGGATGTAGCTGAGGATCCAAAAACCTACCGTTTCAAGGGTTCTACCCTCTAATACTTAAGGGGTCATAACCTACTATTTTGTAGGGTTTGGGGTCACAGATACTGTTCACGATTCATGTTTTATGGTGTAGAGTTTGCTATTTTGATCGTTTAGGCTTCCGGGTTGTCAAGTGCAAAGGGTGGCGTATCAATACTCACAGGCTCTAGATGCTTTAGGATTTTGGGGTCCTGAACCCTAAACCCCTAAACACACTTAGACAAAACCTTAAACCCGAACCCCCTAAACACACTTAAGGAAACAAAACCTAAACCCTAAACCCTCCACCCTTTCTGGTTCAGGGTCATTAGTCCCGACCACGAGGTCCCAGTCGAGTCCGCAGAACCCTTGGCTGCGAAGTCTGTCCAGAGATCGTTTTCGCTCGCGCGCGCCTAAACCCTATACCCTAAACCCTAAACCCTAAACCCCAAACCCCAAACCCTAAACCCTAAACCCCAAACCCTAAACCCTAAACCCTAAACCCTAAAACTAAAAAAGCGTGCCAGGGTTCGCTTCAACAGCGGTTTGGGATCTAGATTTTCGGTAGTTTGTTTCCTCTTCAAGGTGCTCTGGATTCGAGTTTATAATATATTACCCGTATAGAACCTGCAAAGGAACTTGGCTTTCTTCTGGTTGGCTCTTAGGACTTTAGCTTGTGGATGTCTTCATTAGCTACAAAACGGAGGCCAAAAGTTTAATCTGTAAAGGAGGGGTTCAGAAGTCAGCCCAGTGTGGGATTCTTGCAGGAGCCCTAAACCCTAAACCGTATAGTACCCGTATGGAGCATGTGAAGGAACTCTTATGGAACCCTAGACCCTCAACCCTAAACCCGTAAACCCGTAAACCCGTAAACCCTAAACCCTAAACCCTAAACCCTAAACCCTAAACCCTAAACCCTAAACCCGTAAACCCTAAACCCTTAAGGAACCCTTCAGTTGACCCTACGGGATTCGGGGGGGCTACCGAACCTTTCCCTCACCTTCAACATTAGGGTTTAGGGTTTAGGGTTTAGGGTTTAGGGTTTAGGGTTTAGGGCTTTCCGGTTTAGGGTTTACCGTTCTAAACCCTGAACCCTAGGCCCAGAAATCAAACACCCTAAGCCCGTAACCCTAAGCCCGAAGCCCAGAAAAATCCCGTTGTCCAAGGCTGTGGAGACTGCATCCACGGCTGCGAATACTGCGGTGCGCCGGCTTCGGGCGTGGGTGTAAACGGGGTTTAGAGTCTAGGATTTAGAGTTTTAAAGGGTTTAGGGTTTAGGGTTTAGGGTTTAGGGTCAGGGTAAGCAGTTTTGTTTTTAGGATCCTATAAGGCAACCCAATAAAGGAACTAGAGGAAGGAAGCCCTAAACCCTAAACCCCCAAAAGGAACTACAGGAAGGGTTTCAGGACTGTGGGTAGAGAATTTTGCGGGCAGGGTTTGGGGTCCTTTCGGTGAGTGGGGTTTTGGCGGTTTCGGGCTTAGGGTTTAAGGGCTGTGGCTTAAGGGTTAAGGGTTTAGGGTTTAGGGTTTTAGGGCTTGGGGTTTTAGGGTCCAGGGCTTAGGGTCAAGGATTTAAGTTAAGCTCGAAGGACGAGCATTGTTGTCAGGGATTTTGTTGACAGTGACGAGTTTGCAAGCCCCCAAGCCCTGTTCCAAAGTCTTAACCATACCAGTGCTCCAAAGTCTTCACCCTAAACCCTAAACCCTAAACCCTATACGCCATTAACTATGCCAGAGCTGCACCTTAAACCTTAAGGCCTCAAGGTTTAGGGTTTAGGGTTTAGGGGTTTAACACCCACAGGATGTCGTGTTTTCGCAAGCTCTGGGAGGGGTCCAAGCAGGTTGCCCCAAACGAAACGGTCAAAAAGGGCTAGACACTAAACCCTAAACCCCTAAAACCCCTAAACCCTAAACCCCTAAACCCCTAAACCCTGAACCGTGGCTTTGCACAACCCGACAGGACCTTCTAAACCTCTAAACCCAAAACCCCAAATTCCTCTAGCTCCCTCTACAAACTCTTCTAGATGCCCTAAACC